GGTTCAGGGTTTAGGGTTTAGGGTGGGGCCGGAGTTTACGTAGCAATCTCGGACACTTCTTGCCATGCCTGCATTTGCGAGTGTGTGAGTCGAAACCCTAAACCCTAAACCCTAAACCCTAAACCCCGGTAAGTTCCGTGTTGGCTCAGGGATCGGCCTGGCTTTATCACGGTTCGCTTTCATGAAGACTGTAGCACGCTCCGGACTACCGGGATCCCTGTTGCAGGTCTACTATGGGACACCCCAAAGCCGTATTCTAACTATGAATGCCCCTGTATTGCATGATCCAGTAAGCTGTAGTCTTAAAGGTCTAGATCACCCTACGAAGCATCATGGCGACTTCCGTGGATGTGCATCTGCTGAGTGGCAAGCGTGCCGCTGTGGAAGTGGAGGCGGATGCATCCGTTGAGTCATTGAAGCACCGCGCCCAGAGTGCTCTGGCGGTCCCTTGTAGGGGGCGGCTGCTGAATTCTTCTGGCGAGGTGCTTGACGGAGCACAAAGTATCACAGAAGCGAAGTTGAGCAGTGGAGACGTGCTCACTCTACATGTGAACCAAGTCCAGCTTAAGGCTACTTAGAGGATCATGGGACTTAGTAAGTAGGGTTGCAATTAGGATAAGTATACTTATAACCCCAATTAAGGGACTTAGAACCCTACTTACTAAGGCTACCCGGCATGGCAGTTGGAACAGGCCAGGCGACCCTTTCCCTGCCTTCGCTGCTCTCTCGGGTGATGGATCTGTGGACTCCTGGGCCAGTCACGCCTGTTTTGGCTACAGCAGTGCAGTGCAGGAGCAGCTTCGAGATGTGCAGCGGATCCAAGCTTCTGAATATGCATTTGCTGCAATTTCGGGCGACGGATCTGTGGTCACTTGGGGTGCTGCCAGTGCTGCCTGCCTTGGTGGCGGTGGCGACAGCAGTGACAGCATTGCGGTGCAGGAGCAGCTGCGAGATGTGCAGCAGATCCAAGCTTCTGATGGTGCTTGTGCTGCAATCCGGGGCGATGGATCTGTGGTCACCTGGGGTGAAGCTAACTTTGGTGGCGACAGCAGTGCGGAACGGGATCAGCTGCGAGATGTGCAGCAGATCCAAGCTTCTATGGCTGCATTTGCCGCAATCCTGGGTGATGGATCTGTCATCACCTGGGGTGATGCCGACTGCGGTGGCGACTGCAGTGCGGTACAGGAGCAGCTGCGAGATGTGCAGCAGATCCAAGCTTCTGAATATGCATTTGCCGCAATCTTAGGCGATGGATCTGTCGTCACCTGGGGCAATGCCACCTTTGGTGGCGACAGCAGTGCGGTACAGAAGCAGCTCACCAATGTGCAGCAGATCCAAGCTTCTCATCGGGCATTTGCTGCAATCCTGGGTGATGGATCTGTGGTCACCTGGGGTGATGCCGAATGGGGTGGCGACAGCAGTGCGGAACGGGATCAGCTGCGCGATGTGCAGCAGATCCAAGCTTCTGTTGGTGCATTTGCTGCAATCCTGGGCGATGGATCTGTGGTCACTTGGGGTGGATCCGAACGCGGTGACGACAAAAGTAATTAGCCACCAGACGCCCCCATTCGTGTTGATTGAATCTCCGGTCTCTCAAGCTCATGGTGTCCTGGTTCTGTTCTCTTTCCTACGGTTGATGATATGAACCCTGCATTACCCATAATAAGGAATATACCATAACGCCCATAGTTTAGGGTCCTTAAGGTAATGCAGGATTTATACCATCAACAGCAGGAGACCACAGCATCCTCAGCTTAAGAGGGACCGGGGATCGCGGCAGTAGGTTGCACGTTCAAAACAGTGGCCAAACACCAAAGCCTCAACCCATTCAAGGAACGGTTTAGGGTTTAGGCTTTGATTAGGGTTTTAGGGTTTATAGGGGTGTGGAAGTCAGTGTTCAGGCGATTGCACAAGTCCTGATGCAAAAAGGGTTTATAAGGGTTACTCGGGTTGCGACTGTCTCTGTTGGTCTCGGGTTTGGCTTTTGCGTGTTATGCTTCACGGTTTTGAGGCCCGAGTTCTTGACGCTACGTGCGGGTTGTTTCAGAGGAGGGACAATTGGGAATGTACTGCCTCAAACCCTAAACCCTGAACGCGAGATCTTAAGCCAACGGCGAACCTACGTTCAACACTTAAACACACCCTAAACTCCAAACCCCAAACCCTAAACCCCAAACCCCAAACCCTTGACCTTAAACCCTAAGCCACAGCACTGCAAGAAGCTCTTCACCTCGCAAAGCGGTCTGAGAGCCTACGGTGCCCACCGAACATGTTGAACCGGGATACTGGGCTCGAAAAACTCAGCAAGAATATACCCTAAATACCCCACAGCCCGGGTCTAAGTATTGAGGCCCTCCCACCCACGCCAGACACAAAGAGACCCGAGCACTGTAAAGGCCAAAACCTTAAAGCCTCAACCCCGAAACTCAAGCAAATTTCAACATGGACTTGGATTCCCTAAACCCTAAACCCTAACGTGGATTGTGTGCGAGTGAACACTCCTCAACAGCAGAGCCTTCATGCATCTCACGAAACTTAAACACAAGCTTATTGCTACCCGGCCCCAAAAAGCGCAGGACCTTATCTCCATAACACTACAGGCCTTTCAAGCCCCAGGCTAAAGTCACATAGCTGTTTCAAAAACCTTTAAGGAGCCTTTCAAGAGGCCCCCACAAGACCCCAGACTTGATCACCTAAGCCTCAAAGTATTCAAAGAGCCACTACACTGACCCTAAAGCCCCTAAGCCCCAAAGGTCGTAGCCTCGTGCAGTCCGAAAGAGCCTTCAAAGACAAGAAAAACCAACACCACAAAGCCCTAGACCCTAAAACCCTATAAAGCCTAAAAGAGGCCCCATGCTACTTGAAGCCGAACTCGGCGGGCGGCTTGGACTTCTTTGCCGTCGGCACGCTGCTGCAGGCCAAGGGCCTCCCCTGTTAGTGTTATTTCTCTATAGGATTTCTGGTTTAGGGATTTGGGTTTTGGGTTGGGCGGTATGAGCCCACATCGTCGATCAATCAAAGGTGAAGTCTTGAGCCTTCGGTGCGGCTCCATGGAAAGACGGATTGCTGGAGCATGAAGCACTTGATCAGCGACCTCATTCACGAAACTTGCAATTAGGATCTCTTAATTAGTTTAAGTGATCGAGTCTCAGACCTTCAGCCCGAACCTAGAGCTAGACATCATGGTGATCATGCCCTTTACGCTGCTTATTCTCCCAAATAGATGTCCCAACTTGGTGGCATGCACTGCAGTTATCTGAAACCCTAAACTTTATGGCCTGCCGACTCCCGGTACAAGCGAGTTCTAGTTTGTGGGCATGGAGCTGTCGAGAATCTTCCCTCCTTCCAACAAGTGCATGGCTCAGTCTGAGATGGCTGGGGTTCGGCTTTGGATACGCTTTTCCTTCATGCAAGGTGCGTACAGGGCTCGAATTGGTTCGCCTCAAGTAGGCTTCCGTAGGTCGTACCCACGTGCAGACGGAAAACCCCCCCAACAAAAAAAGCCTAAGACCAGAACTTATGAAGCCATGCCTGCCTGTGAGCGAGTGTGTGAGTCGAAACCCTGGCCTTATGCCTGTCTGTGCCTAGCTGTGCATGCTGCTGCAGTCCTAAACCCTAAACCCTAAGCCCTAAACCCTAAACCCTAAAGCCTAAACCCTTAACCCTAAAGCCTAAACCCTTAACCCTAAACCCTAAACCCTAAACCCAAAGAAAGTCAGGCAACTGGCGTCTCCTTGGAGAGCGAGAGCTATCCAGGCCCGAGGTTCTCCGGTGCAGAGACCGTCTGATGCGACGTTTCACAGAGTTCTCTCTGGTTTTCTGTAGGCGCTGCTGCTTTTTGTTATAAGTTATATAACCTTTACCAGAGTTTAGAGCCCTGACCTTACAACCTTCAGGGAACTTCGAAGCATGAGTCGGCTGGTCGGAAGGTGGGTGCTCAAACACTTACCATGCTTGGGGGCTTGCGGCTCTTCAGACTGCATCTCCGGAGATGAATTTCGAACAATCCGGGCCGGTTCGCCAAGATGGGCTAAACTAATCAGCAGAATCAGAATGCCTGCCATGTAGACCCTCGGGACTGTCATTCGGGAACCCAAAAAACCAGCAGCATCCTTTCTGTAATTAATCCCCCGCCCGCCCACCAACGAAGACCCCCCCATCGTGTAGAAGCCGTAGATGTGGTTGGGAAAGGTTCTGCTATAAGGCTCACCATCTTCCGCCAGACGCTCAGCCAAGCACAGGAAGCGGCCATTCAACGCGCTATGAGGGGATCACCGAAGCTTGTCAGCATCCGAGCCATCTTCAGGGGGCCTGGACACTAAACCTTTCCGAACATGTGACACATGTCACGGTGCACTACCCCGCATACTTAACCCGAGGATCAATCTTTTCGAGAAATCTGATAACTCGGCTTGATCCGGGTGAAGGTTTTACATTTATTCGGGTGTTGCCGCGTTGCACTGTGTCATTGTGTTGTCCCGCCAATGAAGACAATGAAACTGTATGCCTGCCATGCTCTATGTTGCAGCTCACATGAGACCTAGAATCCCTGAACGAGCTGTGCAAGAAGCCACCACCGGAAGAGGACGGACATTCAAACATGAAGCCCTCGAGCACATGGACATCCAGAATCTAAGTTGGGTTTAAGCAAGGGTTCTGAGTTTAGGGACAATTTGGGAGAAGGTAAGTAGGCACTTCAACCAGATGGACTCGGGGTTCTCGATGCATGGTGTCCGTGGCTTGAGTCACAGGCTTGGCTAGAGTTCTTTGATCGTTGGTTCTGACGGCCGGCTGAGCAGTTGGGATTTGTATGTTTCGAGCGCTGGAGAGCCCGACACGCCCTGATTCAGGAATGCGCCCTGATAGAGTGTAGAAACAGATACGCTGTATGAATATATATATATATATGTACATGTACATCTACATACACACACATATAGATGTAGATGGATATGTATGTATGAATGTAAATATACATTTGTACAGGTATTCATAAAAATTAATCTATATATATTCATATAAATATAAATATAAATATAAATATAAATATAAATATAAATATAAACATAAACATAAACATAAATATAAATAAATAAATATATATATATATACACACATATACACATACATACATATACACACATGCAAGGGACTTCCCTCGAATATCGATATAATTGCCATCCACCTGTATTCCTTGAAGTTAAGGGGGGGGGGGTAAGCCCTAAACCCTAAACCCGCTGGGTTCTTGGGAGAGCAGCCCGGCCGAGATCAATCTGAACATCGATTACAGCAACTCCGTGCCCTGGCATGGCCTGCAGGAAAATATCAGCACCTTGGTGATCGACTTCTGGTCCAGGGTTTGGGATTTAAGGGTTTAGGATTTAAGGGTTTAGGATTTAAGGGTTTAGGGGTTTAGGGGTTTAGGATTCAAGGGTTTAGGGTTTAGGGTTTAGCGTTTAGGAGTTGTAGTTAGGGCGCACCAGAGAAGTCCAGGGTAGGATCTAGGATGTAGGGAATGGGTGGTGTAGGGCACATCAGAGGGATCCAGCTTCAAATGCGTCTAGTTTAGCTGATGCAATGTTCATTTGTGTGGATTAGAGGCTGTCTTTGATTGGCAAAACCATTGAGGACGCGAATCCTCATCGGTAGACCCTCGTCCCTCTAGCCCGTGGCTCCAGCAGAGCCTTGTCAGTTCAAGCTGATTCCAGGTACCCTAAATCCTCAACTCTAAGCCCTGGACTTGATGTCGGTGTTGGGTTTGACGAGTGATTTCGGATTTCGGGCTAGTCTGTTGCGACAGCTAAGGACCAAAACCCCCCACGAGCCTCAAGCACTGAAGCCTACACCTCTTACAGGAACATGGCCTTCTGTAGGGTATGTCTTGCATGGGTTGTGTTTAGGTTTCTATAAACGACCCAGACCCCAGTCTTGCGCAGTGGAATTACCCATTGTTTGGACATCAGCTTGGCAGCGGATGCTGTAACCAGTAAGCTGATCATGCCGCGGTACGGTTCCTGCATCCCGAAGTCCGTAATGTGCAAACAACGCTTCACTTGAAGCCTTGACGACCCAGAAATTGAGACACTTTAGAGATACCGGCTGGTCAAGTAAGAAATCCCGAGCATCATTCGTACGGTATTTTTTCCCGCTAGCTGCGTTGACCCTTGCCGCGCCTGTGCCGCTTGAGCCAAACTCGAATCTAGCACCCAGACCCCGTCAAGCAAAGCTTCAAGATCTCAGTCGGAATGCCTTACACTGCAAACCGGAAACCCAAAGTCCTGAGCCTTGAACCAAGTACTACTGTAGTAGGAGGCTAAACGCCTTGGATGCTCTAGGCTGTTCGGGCTGTAGGTAGTGCTTTTTGGTTTAGGGTTGGGGGTTTGCTTTGCTGAGCACCCAGGCTTCCGACAATTTTTAAGCAATTGTAAAACCTCCTGTGTACTGCAGAGCCAGTATTAAACCGACAAACCTTAAACCCTTCACCCCAAACCCTAGTAGATCCTGCGTCCTTCCGAGGCTATCTCTACAAGCCCTCGGTAATACCACGCAGCACCTTCAAAACAACGGAGGCGCCTCGCAGAAGATTCAGGTCGCTGCGCAGTTTAGGGCTTCTAGGTTCTATAGATTTTTTTAAGGTACCAGGGTTTAGAGTTTTATATTAACGTACCACCATAAGTAGGGTTTAGGGTTTAGAGTTTCATAAGGTACCATTAGGGTTTCGGGTTTAGAGTTCTATAAGGTTTAGGGTTTAGGGTTCCATCATAGGTTTTATGAGATCAGGCTTCCAAGGAGTTTTACTGGGATGTGGGTTTGTGGGGTTGTATGGGTAAGGGTTACATGAGGTTCTCAATTTTTGCGGAAGAGAGGTTTAGGAGCTATCATTCTGTGGATCTTACAAGGAATGCATAGGAATGACCGAGGAACTCCAATATCCGTTTCGTAAGGAGCCCTTCTTCTTCAGGCCTTTCTGTGCGACTAGGCAAGCAATCTTGCAGTCTCTCCGAGCTTCAGGTGCAGTAAAGTGCACTGAGTGTATGGTCTCAGGTTCCGAGACCCACTACGGTTTAAGGTTTAGGATTTGGGACCCCTCAACTAAACCCTAAACCCATTAGGGCCATTAGGGTTTAAGGTTTAGGAATTAGGGTTTAAGGTTTAGGGTTTGGGACTCCGAATCCCTACCTATAGTCTCCATTGAAGTTCCTTCTTTTGGTTATATATTAAGGATTTTATAAGGCATCCCCAACAAGGAACGACAATAGAGACTACAGGTAATACCCTAGTTTAGAGTTTGATGTTCGGGTTTAGAGCTCAAGGTTCTTCGAATCTCTCACTGCCACAGCCAAAAGCACGCGAGTTGGCCCGCAGTCCATACCATTTTGGGGTTCCTGACTATATAGTATAATATACCCAAAACCCTATTCTGGTAATTGAGGCCCCTATATTACCCTACATCCCTGAACTGCCGTAAACCCTAAACCGTACTTACATTCAGGCTAGACACCATGCTCCTTGAGCTTGCTGTAGCCGCCGCGTCCAGGTTTTATCCCTGCGCTAAGCCCTTGACCGCCGTGTAAGGTTTAGGTTCACAGGCTTGGGGGCTTGGGGGTCTACAGCTTGGTGTCTAGGGCAGGGCACCAGGCACCAAGAAAGCACTCGGAGAACCGTCCATAAGACCACCCAGAGACCACAACAGACCACCAAGAGACCCAAGCGGACCACCAGAATACGGCCAAACTGCTTTGCCCCCCAAACTGGTGTGATTCAGGAGAAGGGCGACCGCAAGTACTGGCAGGATTCGCAACAACTTGCATGGCCAGAATGCTTTTCCTCAATGGCAACGGCCACAATACTTTCTCCCAAGCATTCGGGATTCAGTTCTGCAGCCCCCCATACTGGCAGGATTCATGAGGACGTCGAAGATGCTTTCCCTCAAATACTGCTGCGATCCAAGGTTTCGAGACCAAAAGGCATCGGGGCAAGCTTTTTCCGCACACGCGCTCCGCGCACGAACGCTGGCCAAGTCGTTCACTCCGAACGTTCGAACCCCACGGTGCCCTAAACCCTAAACCCTAAACCCTAAACCCTAAACCCTAAACCCTAAACGCTGCTTGAGGAGACCCGAACCCTAAACCCCAAACCCTCATAGCACAACCTCATCCCGCAGCCGAAACCGTAACCCAATCCGAACCGCCATGGCTTAGGAACCCTTGGGATTGAGGTTTTACGGTTTGACTAAGGTCCAGCGTATGTGATTCGTGGGCTTGGCTGAACCCTGAACATAGGGCAGAGGGCGGGATCATTAGGCTTTGGCAGGGTCTAAGAAAGTGCCCCAAACCCTAAACCGTGCCAGGCTTCTCCGCTGTCGCCAGACGGCCTACACGTGCTCAAGAAAAGCCTGCATGGCCACTTGAGCGCATTTCGGGGCTCAGACTGTTTTGTCATTTTGTTGTTCCTGTTACCCTACAGGGAGTTTAGGGTTTGTAGTCACTAGTTTCTCGGAAAGACAAATGCTCTTTCATGTAACTGGAGGGGCAAGCTTGCTTATAAGACTTCGGTGGTCAATTGCTCTCACAGCTGATCATTGGCGCAGTGATGCTGCGGCTGCGCCTTTAATCTACAGTATGTGTTCTGTTTCAGTGAGGACACACCTCCTATACTTGAGGATCTAGGTCCCTGCCGATGAAGCTGTTGGTAACAAAGACACGGGGCTCACAGATATGCAATGGCTTAGTTTAGGAGATGCACCAGGGAGAGAGTTGAAGGGAGTGCTGCAGGATCGGGAGAAGTTTTCCCCGCTGTAAGCTTGGAGTTGTCGTTGATGCTACGTCGATGTTCAGTTCTTTCATGGGCTTTCACGGCTGTTGTCTTGACCCATCAGCCCGTTTATAAAACCGTCAAGCCTTAAAAAACTTAACCCCTGAACACCCCGAACCCTATGAACCGGTAATTTGAAGACCTATGAAACTTCACCGATCTCGCACACAGAAAGTACTGCAGACGTGTAGGGGTGCTTTAGAAATAAATGTCCAACCATTGCGATCTGAGAGACCTCACCTGGCTAGAATAGAACAAGCCCGAAACTGGGAAAAGCCTAAACCCGACAAAACCTAAGCCCAGCCTTCAACCCGACGCCTCAAGAGCATGAATGCGTCCCTCGTTTCCAGGATCTCTCCAGCCCCGAAACCCTTGAACCCATAACTGTTATACCTTGACCATAAATAACCGACCGTTTCTAGGGTTCCGTTTTGTGTGAGTTCCTTACATAAATCCTGAAAAAGGGAGGTTTTCTAGGGTTCAGATGGTTTAGGGGCTAGACTAGAGCCTACAAGGTTTGCTGTTCGAAGTACGAGCTGGCGGGCAGCTGGCAACGTTTGAGCCTCCGCCGACTCAGCTTTCGAGAGTTTGGTTTTCCTTGTCGTCGCATAGTGCTCCCAGTTTGAAGGAGGATCAAAAGTCCGCGTCTAGGGGGGTTTAGGGTTTAGGGTTTCGGATGTCCGGTCAAGCTGCTGATGGTAATTTGGTCGTATGTCGGGGAGTGCATTATTCAGAACCGGCAATGGATCGTGTGTTTGTTTTTGGTTTTTTTTTGGCGAAATCTGGGCAAGGCATGGAAGCGCATCTTAGGGTGCAGTAGACACTTATTCTTGGGTGTTTGAGGTTTAAAGGATCAAGGCCGAATCACACAAGACTCGCCTTATCGAGGTCGGTCTCTACATTTTGGAACGTTTCAAGAAAAGCCCTAAACCCCAAAAACCGAAGCTGTCCCTATCATAGCATAAGGTTCAAAGGATGTTAAGAGGCCAGCACTTCGAGCGAAGTTGAGGACTTCTTGGAGCTTGCTGTGTTTTTTGGAGTTAGGGTCGAGGCCTTCAAGCTGAACCCCCTAAGTCGTGCCGTCGGGAGTATATGGGAGTTTCCGAAAAATGGGGGTACCTTATTTTGGGGTCCTTATAATAAGGATCCTACTATTAAGGGTACTATATTAGGGCCCCCTATTTTCGGAAACCACCATATGATCTGACAGCCGGTAGCATCTGATTCTTGACCCTTGGCATTGTGAGGTCTCAACTTCTCCGGGGCGTTTCGAAAGCCCAAGCAGCTGAAATGCTCGGAGAAACGCCGAATGCATTGCAACGCGTAAGCCCTGAACCCTCAAACCCTAAAACCCCGAAAACCTAAACCCCTAAACCCCAAACCCCTAAACCCTAAACCCTAAACCCTAAACCCTAAGCTTAGAGATCTCCACAACCCTATCCTTGCAAACACCCATACCTGGAGGGTCGGGGACTTAGTAACTAGGTATTTTATAGACTTATAAGTACCATAACCCCAGTTAGGATCCCTTTTAGGGTACTTATAACTACTTAGTATCTACTTACTAAGTCCCCCGATCCTCCAAGTACCCTAAAGCACCTTTCGAGCCAAACCTCTGAGCCTTCAAGGCCTTCGATCTTCCAGGGGTTGCAACGTCCCGAAGGTTAGGGTTTAGGGTTTAGGGTTTAGGGTTTAGGGTTTAGGGTTAGAAGCCCTAAACCTCAGTTTAGGGTATTAGGGTTTTAGGGTTTAGGGGTCAGGGGTTTAGGGTTTAGGGTTTGAGGATTTAAGGATTACGCAACGCAGGCTGGATGCAAGAAAGGCTTTGGGTTTAGGGTTTTGGGGTTTAGGGTTTAGGGGGACCCGAAAAGAACACCCGAGAGCAAGCAGAGCACTCGTTTGACCTGCGACGAGGATTTCACGCAACTCCTCTTGCAGCTCACTACAAGTCTCACACTGCTGGCCCTCGCAACGGTGAGCCGGCTCAGTGTTTAGCGTGTTTGTTTGCGATAATTCTGCGATAAGCGTAGGATTAAAGGACCGAGGAAGTATGAGGGTTCGCTACCCATAGGCCCCATAGTAGTTCCTTTTGGGATTACCTAATAGGATCCTAAATACAAAGCACAAAAAGGATTTACTATGGGGCCTATGGGTAAAGCCAAAACCCTGAAATATGGAATTGCGAGCTTACGGAGCAAGGCTGCGCAGAAGGATTTGTCTGAAGCACTGTTGTGATTTAGAGCTCACTTGGCAGAAGTCTCTCGTTTTGTAGGTGATTCCTGGCCAACATGCACGCCGCTAAACCACAAACCCTGAATTCCAAATCGTAGCGATAGATGTCCGGAAGCACATATCGGTGCTTGGCAACGCCTCCGTGCCATTGGGCTCATATCGCGAGGATAGACCTGGCCCGGAAATGACATGGAAGGGTTTCCAAACTTTTGTTTAGGCTTTATGAGGCCTTTCTAGAGGGTTTCCTAGTCTCTAAACGGGTTCCTATCCGGGTAACTAGAAAGGGATATTATCAGTATAATGATAAGAGCTACGAGAAGGAGCACAATACGGCTTACTTTAAAAATTCTATCACGGTTTATTTAAGGGTTGCGAATATGGGACTGTAGGAGGTCACTGTGAAACGATCTCCGTAAGTGGTGCCAGCTAGCACTACAGGTGGGGAGGTACTATAGCTCGTCTGGCAGGAGTTGCGGGTGCGTAAACCGCCTGTCGAAAAGTATCTCCAGTCCACGGTGATAATTTAACTTCTAACATAATACTTTATCATATAATACCAAATGATATGATACGATATAACATAACATCATATCATAAAGGTGGGTGTGAACATCATGGCGCAGTACGTCCTGAGATACCGCGAGAAGCCCGGCAGGGCGGCAGGTCTGGGGTCTGGAGGTTTGCGGTTCGGGGGTTTAAGGTTTAGGTTTAGGGTGCTGATAGCAAAGAGCCTGGGTTCAAAAACAAAAATGGGTTTAGGGCTTAGGGTGTAGGCTTTAGGGTTATAGGGTGTAGGGTTTGGTGGTCGTCGGGTTGAAAGGTTTAGAGGTAAAGGCTGCTTTGGTAAGTGTCGGGATGCAGGCCGAGGTGTTGGATCACGATGCTCACAACCGTACCGTAAGCACATGTCAGCGCGACGAGCGAGACATTCCGTAAGTAGGGTACATTAGGGCTAGAGTCTACATGGGTACAGGCAGTTTTCACCGTAACCCCACACTTGAGCTTTCAACGGACTTTGAGGCTTTATGGGGTCATCTTGCGGAATCTTCGGGTTTGATTTAGGGGTTAAGGCTAGGGTGTAGTGTAAGAGAGGGTAGGATCAAAGCCTGAGGTTCGCGCTTGGGGCACATTAGGATTGAGGAAGTGTGAGCAATGCGTGTGTGGGTTTAACGATTGAACTGAAGATTGGGGCACAAGGGTCTATGGAGAGTAGTGTTCAAAGTTGAGGGTTGCTATTTGGCGCGTGGTAGGAGTTGGGGGGTGACTATGGTTGAGAGATGCGCTGCAAGGTTTCGGGTTTGGACGTTCAGGCTTCGACTCTTGCTGATCTGAGTGTTCGAATTAGAGCTCATGGTTATGTGTCTGGAGGCTGGGGTCGGGGCCTGTGATAGCAAAATTACATGCTGTTCTTGTGGACCATCCTCACAAGCCCCCCTCAACTGTAAACCCTAAACCCTAAACCTTAACTCCACACTCTGAAACCCCAACCCTGCCTAGCCTAAACCCGAAGCCCTGAACCTTATGAACCCTAAATTATCCAGAACCCTAGGTTTGAGGCTGCCGGTCTGCTTCTGAGAAGGTTTAAGGTTTATAGGGTTTTGGACTTAAAGCCCCCAAGCCCCCAAATGCTCGAAGCTCACGAAACGAGTCCTGAATTGGAAAAGGTTCGTAAGCTTTAGTCCATGCAGCGAGGTCACTACTATTCGGAGGCGCTGTACGATAGAACTGCCGATTTCGATAACATCAGCTTCTGGGCACGACGGAGAGCAGGTCGGGATTCTCTTGTTGGGGTCACCATGATTTGTTTTGTGAGTGCTTGGTCTTATTATAGGGCTTCTACACGTAGAGTGTGGACTTCTACCAGCCGAGCGAATGTCGTAATCTTGAGCCTTGTGTAAGGACTGCCGCGTAAGACTTGCAAGTGTCTCGTTGTTACAATTGTAAGATTGATGCCCTAATTACTTTTTTAGGGTTCCTTATTGCAGTTATAGTACAATATACCCCCAAACCCTCTTCTAATTTTTAAGGCCCCCATATGAGTACATGTTGCAACCCTAAACCCTAAACCCCCAACCCTAAACCCTAAACTAACCGCCGTCAAACCCTCCAACACTGCTTTCTGGAGGCTCCCGGTTCGCAAGGCTTGTGCAGACCCTAAACGGCCGTTTCAAGACTGTAATACAGTTAAAGAATGTATAACAAACTCTATATATATATATATACCCACATAGATAGATGGATGCTGCTCAGTGTGAATCGGCTCAGTGTGAAGAGGGCTGTGTCACCTCTAACAGAATGGAAGATCATATTGTTCAGTGATCATATAAAAGCGCATGAATGAGGAAGTAGGTTAGCACCGACGACTTGCGCACTCATCTAGCTGCAAGTTGAGGAAAAATAGATGGATAGATAGCTAGATAGGCAGATATAGACAGATATAGTTAGGTATAGTTAGATATAGATAGATATAGATAGATATAGATACGTACTTAGATAGAAAGATACATAGACAGATAGACGGATAGATAGATAGGTAGATAGATAGATAGATAGGTACTTAGATAGATAGATAGATAGATAGATAGAAAGATAGATAGATAGATGGATAGATCGGTAGATAGATAGATAGAAAGATAGATAGATAGATAGATAGATAGATATATAGACAGATAGACAGATAGATAGACAGATAGATAGATAGATACTTAGGTAGATAGGTAGGTAGATAGATAGATATGTAGATAGATAGATAGATAGATAGATAGATAGATAGATAGATGGGATAGAAAGGTGGATAGATAGATGGATAGATGGATCGATGGATCGATGGATCGATGGATAGATGGATGGATAGGTAGACAGCTTTGTCTTTCTCTCTCTCTGTCTACTCAGTATCTCTCTATGTGTATGTGTATTGCATGTATCGCTCTGTACATGTGTATATATATATATAGAGAGAGAGAGAGAGAGAGGCAGAGAGACTGACAAAGAGAGGTAGAAACAGAAGCAGAGAGCGAGAGAGACAAAGATAGAGAGGTGACTCCTTTGCCGCGCTTCGCAGAGACAAAACCATACAAAGCAGTGCTTTAACAGGAACATGAAGCACCCTTTGTTCACAGAGTCCTGGACCTAAACACGAGAAGCCTGGAAGATTGAACTATACTCTACTACACCATACTACACTTTACAACGCACTACAATACTATACGACACTATGCTACATTACACTACACTGCACACACTACGCTATACTACGCTATACGGTGCTATACTCGACTATGCTACTTTTCAAGCCCAGGTTTTCTGGAGCGCCAATCCGATGAACAGCTCCGGCAGGTCGTGTAAAGAGGTTTAGGGTTTAGGTTTCAGGGTTCAGGGTTTTTTGGAGAGAGCTCCGGGTTCAAAAAGGGTTGAGGGTTTAGGGTCCAGATTTAGGTTTTAAGGTTTGGGGTGTAGGGTCTAGCTCAGTGGCACTCATCAAGTCCAGGTGTAAAAAAGGGTCTAGGTTTAGGTTTTAGTGTTGACGGTGCAAAGGTTGAAAGGGGGTTGGGCTTCCGACACCTAGATCGAAGACACAGCACTTCTGCAAGTTTCTATTGCGAGTGGGGCCTCTCCTGGGATAACTGGGTACTCTGACAGGGGCCTCATGGGGCCTCCTTCGTCCCGCGAAGACACTGCCGGAGATAGTCTTCGCTCAGATCGCAACTCGAACCAAGGGAGGAAGTAGGTCGGACATCGCCAACATATTCTGTTGGCATTGCCTCCCTGGCTGCTAAACCCTAAACCCTAAACCTTAAACCCAAACCCCTAAACCCTAAACTCTTACGGATAATTGACAAGAGAGTACTCCAAAGTCTCTCACCCGGTACGGCTCACCACTGGAAGGTGCTAAGGGCCTCGGTTCGGTTCGAGCTTCAACATGGCAACGCCCTAAACCATCGACGGCCTTCATAACTAGAATAGGGTTCTGGGCCCATTATATTGTAAGTATAATATGGAATCCCCAGAATAGTATGGGTAATTATTCCCTAAACCATCGACGTACCGGCCAAGGCCGTCAAGGGCCTTAACTCTCACTGCTGAGGCTGTCTCAGGTCGGAGTATGAAGGACCTTACGGTATAGTTGGGGTTGTGGCTCCATGCCCATTCACTCAGCCTTAACTGCCTCAGCGTATTATACTGTTAAAGCTACACCAGGCAATTGCCACGGCAGTCGCGGCTGTTTGTTGGAGTCGCGGTTTCTGGTGTACAGAACCTAGCCGGGCTTCAATCCTAAACCCTGAAACCTAAACCCCTAAACCAAACACTAAACCCTAACCCCTCAAACCCTAAGCCCCGTAAACCCTAAGCCCAGGTCGTGAGTGCTGAAAACCCTGAGCCCCATAAACTCTAGGCGCGAAGTGTCTGCAGGAGCTCAGGGATCGCAATCTCCCCGCCAGTGGGCCAAGAGAGCGGATGATCCTCCGACTCCTCGTCCAAAAGGGTTAAGGGGCTAGGGTTTAGGTTTTCGGGGTTTTGGGGTTACGGTTTACGGATTTTGGGTTGGGGTTTAGGGGTTAGTGTTTAGGGGTTAGGGTTTCGGGTTTAGGGTTTAGGCTGATGGTCAAGATTTGTTTTTGTTTGGGGTGGCGGTGGTGTAGATTATGCCGTTTATTTCAGGGTTTGAGAATTAGCCTGCTTTCTGAAGCTTGGTAGGTGGAAATGAAGCTTTGGGGAAGCAGGTCCCCGCGCACGGGACCCGTTTAAGTTCAATTTGGGGGCCCGAGTTAACTCCGTGACTAGGACGTGCGTCAGTACTGTGGGTTGGAATCTCTGGTTATCTGGCTTTACCCCGTTAGGGATTAGTGCATTGCTGGGGATGTCATACTTGCTGGTAGTAGTCTTGGCGTCGACTTCAATTTTTACCTTGACCCTTGAATTGTAGTTGTGGCTGTAGTCGTGGACGTTGTTCCCATCAGCATCATCTTCATCATTACGAGAACTCTTGCAGCACATCGGACATAGACGCTGCACAATGTCAATCTTCGGATGTTTATGAAAGTTAAGAAGGTACAGAGATTACGAGCACCTACCCTAGGACCTCGAAACCACCCGTTCCTGGCATAGCAGGCCACACGGCCTCACTTATCACCAGAAGCCCAAAATCTCAAGTCAAGCCTAAACCCTTAAACCCTAAACCCTCCTAAACCCTTAAGCCCTAAACCCTTAAACCCTGGACTTCGCGCCTAAAGCTAAATCCGCAAATCTAAACCCTGCTGCTACGCACAAAAAGCTTTAGGCTCAGCTCGAGGCCTGAATACAAGGCTAGAGTATACCACAGTACTTATCATAACCACTCAGAGCCCTAAAGCCTAGTTTCCTAAAATCCTAGAATCCGAGAAGGCCCTTGCAAGACCCGATTGCAAACTCTCCACAGCCCAGGGCTCATGGAGTATGGATACCGCCCAACTGCGACGCCGAGCCTCAGCGCCGTGGCTTCTGCTTGGAGTAGGATTTCGGGTTTAGTGGTTTCAGGTTGGGATTCACTAAACACTACACCCTGCAAGGTCTTTCAAGCCCAACACCTCAAGGGTTTCGGGCTTCGGGAGAGCCGGGATCACTAAGGCCTTTGGGTTTAATGGGCCGGGCGGTGTACAGCTCAAGAAAATGATGAATTAGCAACTGCAGAAGTTGTCTAGAAGCATTACCTTGTCGTCGTGCAGTACGGCACAGCTGGAGGAACCCGCATCGTACGTGCTGTGGCAGAAGCACCAGTCGATTCTCTGCCAGGTCGTTGTCTGTCTGGTGCTTAGTAGGGAATGGGAGAATGGATCCCTATGATAGTCCCTTAAGGTCCCTTATAGTAGTCCCTATAACCCATTCCTCCATTCCCTAAAAAAGCACCAGACAGTTGTAATGGAAGACGCTTTTACTTTGAGGCTTCCGCAGCGAGCGGGCAGCGCTAGCATCGGCGCCCGATCCTTGAGGCCCTTGCGTTTTCTCTAGGGTTTAGGGTTTAGGGTTTAGGATTTAGGGTTTAGGAAGGGTTTTTTTGAAGTTGCTGTGGGGCACTGTCGGCCTGCTGGGTTTTGATCCGGGTTGGGTTTGGGTGGTAGTTTGCTAAGATCCCCTTTACTTTGGGCTCTGAGGTTCTCGTTATTGAGGCACTGAGGGTGGCCTCAAGACTATTGCAACCTTGCCATCGTATCTATGTTTCTATTGGATGGTAAGAGTATGCCATGTAGCGAAGTACTTGATGGCAGGATGTAGCATCTAGACGTCCCTTTGATAAGGAGATCGCCACAGGATGCTGGTGGATAACGGTAGCGCATGATATGAACTGATTAACTCAACATATCAAGCAATATGTGGGGTAGCCAGGTAATCCCAAACCTAACCCTAAACCCAACGCTGTGCAGCCTTGCCTGCCTTGTGCGAATGTGAGAGTCGAAAAAACCCCAACTGCCCAGAGGGCGCTCTGATTCCTTTAATCATGGCCTCTATATGACCACCCTAAACCCTAAACCCTAAACCGAAACTCTAAACCCTAAACCCTCAACCCTAAACCCTAAACCCTAAACCCAGACCCGCTTGATGTACTTTAGCCACAGAGCCTCCCTTCGATAAGCCCGGAGCCCCAAACCCCTCAAATCAGAAAGACATGAGCTTTAAACCCCCCAGAAATCTCACAGCTTCAACCTCCAAGCTGAAACGGGTTTCAAGTCCTAAACCCGTAAGCTTAAGTTCCAAAGCTCAAAGCCACAAAAAACAACATCCGCCCGGACCTTTTACCCGAAACCCGGGAGCCTAACTTCCAAAGAGGCTGATCGCAGGGTATCTTAGGGTTTAGGGTTTAGGGTTTAGGGTCCCTTTGGCCGGGCGAGCTCCAATCAAGCCTGTGTAAGAAAGGGCCCCTTTCTTGGAAGGTCGTGTCAGTCATGGCCATTGACTTCTCCCCGCAGGGGCTCCCTGTTTGGGGGAGCTCGCGACTCCCAGGGGCGCCTGTTCGAAACTGAGTCTGTGCCCTACAATCCCGGAGCGGTGCACCAAAGTCTAAACCCTAACCCCAGAAATTGCAACCCAGAACCTGCCAGACCCGAAAGCCGGGCAGGTTTGAGTCGTCCCCCCAGGTTGAGGGTTTCGGGTTCTGTTTGGATTTTGCTTCAAAGCTCGATGTTTATGAGCTCAGCGAGAGCTGGCCTCCCGTGGGGTACCGCTTGAAGATATTCGAAGCTTTTTGTGTGTGTAGGGTTTGCTTAATTTCAGGGCTGGGGTTTGTATAGGGGTCAGGGATTTCTAGGAGCTGGGCTAAGCTTACATGTTATCAAGCAGGCTTGGGGCAGAGCTGTTCCATCGGGTTGGCATTTCTGGGGCCGACTTTCTTTGAAGGCACATACAAGATCCTTAAGTTCAAACCGCGATAAAAATCATAACGCTAACAAGCCCTCATTGACCCAGAACCCTGTAGCACCGCACCGGTGGTAAAACAGCGAACATGCGTGCTTTGGGAAGTCCTGTCTCACCCCCATGCTGCTGGCAGCTGTCAGGGCTGTGGATTGCAGGGCTCAAAAATACGATTCTCTGATCCGATCTTCCAACGGGAGGTCCACATCATTTCAATCTTTTGGAATCCCAAGCCCTACCCCTTAAACCCCGAACCCCTATCGTTTTCGTTGCTTTGGAGTGTTCTGGGCTTGCGGGCGTGCACCTTGCACTTCTTCGCGTACTGCGGGTCGTCTTCCAAAAGGAGGTCCAGATCACTCCAAGCTTCTGATCTCGGGCTGCCACGAAGTATTCACAGAGGGTTTAGGGTTTAAGGGTTTAGGGTTTGGGGTTTGGGGCTGGGGATCAATCCTTAAGGCTAGAACGGCTAAAGCTTCGGTCTGAAAAACTATATGTCTATGTCGCACATTGGAAAGCTCGTCAGGAGGCAGGTGGCGGTTTTCAGGATTGTGTGAAGTAGTACATTTCATCTGCAAGAATGCTGCGCCATCTTGTTTTTTCGATCCGCAGGTCTAGTTGCTTGTTCATCTGCGAGCCATCCTGGATTTTTTGTCGGCAGGCTCGTGTACTGCCGGTGCTACCTGGTACTGGCATCGCTTCATTGCTACGACAGCTGTCGTAAAAACATATCCCTGCTACAGGGTTCTGCGAGGTCTCCTGTCCCCTAAGCCCGCAAGCTTGAAACCCTGAACCCTAAGACCCTAAGCCCTAAGCCGATTGAACCCCTAAACCCTAAACCCTAAACCGAACCCCTAACCCAATTTGACCTTGTGCCATGTGCTGTTTCTGCTCGACTCCGGCCCCAGCCTTTGCCGGCCTGCGCCCGAACAAGTCTAGTTGTTCACGTTGCTGCCGAAGCATTCAAATTTGCATCTTCGAGCAACCTGCTGGGAGAGTTATTTGCCTTTGTTCCCCATCCGTTGGTTGAACAGAAGGGCCTGGCTAGAATTTTCCAGCAATTCCGCTCTTCTGCTGCCGGTCATGCAGAGCGGCGTGGATTCCGAAGCCTCCACATGCAGCACGGATTCCGTGAGCGAAGAGGACAGCTTGAAGGCGGGACCAGGGGAGGGATAGGGATCAACAAAAAAACTAAACAGAAAGACATTTGGATCAACAAAAATCACTTTGGTTAACAAAAACTAATCTAGCAGAAAAGAGGGAGGGAGGAAGGAAGGAAGAAAGGACGGAGAGTGGGAAGAAGGAGGGAAGAAAGAAAGGAAGGAAAGGAA